GAGGTGATTCACTGTTATTAAAGTAGGTGAGTAAATTGACTCCTCGCATAAGTGACTATTACGTGATTGTATTACCTCTCGCATGCTATCCCCGCTGCTCGTGAGTGCATTCAGTCAGGACTGGATTTTTCCAAGCATTTGGATCAACATCGATGACTGCAGTGTTGCTTTTGATGGCCTCCTGGACTTTTACCAACGTTTCTGACAAACAAAACAAAAATTCTTGCAAATCCTTGAGCTATGACTTGGTAGACCGTTTGTCAAGAAGTCAGTCCTGACAGGGATGATTGGGTATTGCAATTTACAAACGACACAGAATCCTACATTATTTTTTATTTATCAAACAGGTTTCATCAAAGTTGCCGTTTTATTGTCGACACCCTACATGAAAAAAAGTCGTGTTTTGATGCTTGTCACGGCATATTATTGACATGAATCGGTGTTTTCGGCTAAAGTTTTGGCATGATCTCATTCCAGGTCGCCATGCTTAGCATTGCATAAAATTCAGATTTTTATTTAACTCTGACAGTAAGCTGTTTTAGCTGACTGTTTTGATGGCTACTACTAGCATTTTATTATACTGCTTTGATAATTATTTAGATAACAAATTAGATTTGCAGCATCTTCTACCACTGGTAGGCACTGTTCTCCCTCCGATACGAATTCCGTATCTTCCTTGATTCTTTCTCAGGAGGAATTGCATTTTGCACAAAGGAACGTTAAGACCCAATAAGAAGCGTGTTTGATGGGAAGGCCAGAGGTAAAGATTTAAAGAATTCGGCCATGTGGCCTCTTGATATTTAAATTTGTGCACTCTCCAGTTTTTAAATTGAGGTTGAGAATCATATAATGAGTTTTAGGGAAACCTTGGAACACTCCACTGCCTCATTCCAAATATGATTTGCAGCAGTAAAATCGGCTCCAATCGTAAAGGTTAGCTACCCCAGTTTTTTGTTACTGAATGTTTGACCTTAATGGGACGGAACAAGGGCATATGCTATGGATAGGAAAATCTGCGATGACCCTTAAGAGAAATGTGTGGAAATGATGTCCACCTTCGAAGTCTACCCCAGTCCCATGGTCCTCAAGAATGCTATCAGCAACTGAAGCAGCACTGCTGAGGAGTCGCCGAGATCAACGCCATACGGAGCCCTATAGGAATCTCAGTCATTGGGACTGGTCATGAATTTTACTATAGTCTCGTGTATACACTTATACACCCTCATAAAAGACGTTTTTTCAGATACTCCTTCAGAGGTTACTTGATAGGCCGTGATCAAGGGTACTTCTAAATTTTAAACAATACAGCTACAACAGAAAAACATGCCAGGATCCCATGTTTATAAAGTGCTATCCATTACCTCCGTATGTTCAGCTAATAATGAATTAAAACTAGAGTAATTATTACTAAAAAGGGATCTCAGGCAGGAGTATTAAAAGTGAATCACACTGAGTCCGAGAGGCATTTGCAACTTGAAAGACCACTCTTCTCAGCTAAGTGCCACATAGTGTGCTTAGTAAAACTGACCAAGGCTGTACAGAGGGTAACGTTGTTCTCTTAGTGAAGAGGCATTGGCTGAACGGTGGTAACGGATGCTTTGTCTTCTAATTGAAGATGAGAACTTGAAGGGAGGCAGATATCGTGCTAGCAAAGATAATCACAGCATTGGTGTAGAAACCAATTGATCTAGGAGCCTCTTAGGTGGTGGGCTTAGATATTCCACAAGAAACTTCTGCAGCCATACACAACGGAAAGACTGGTTTGACTGTTTACAGTGGCTTGCACAATGTTAAAGGTTGTTAAATAAAGTACTTTACAAATCAAAGAGTTCTGCAACAGCTGGAAAAAACCACCTCTGGGTGGGAGAATCACCCGATGGTGAAACACATGGTTATTCAGACATCACCGAATCATGAAGCTAAACTGTTCCATTAGATGCGATTTCCATGCACATTGTTACAAGTGCGTTCTTTTGACCGTCGGTGTAGTGAAAGCAAGGTAGAGGTTACAATTTGTGGAAATATCTACTGTCCATCGCCAAATTCTGAAACTGCATTCTTTTTTCTCGCGCGACTACAGACACTTAAGAAGGTCCATTCAAGGTCGAATTATTGCACAAAATTCTTGCCTATAGTAGCAAGTTAATTTGAAAAGTGATATAATTATTCTCATTCACTAACATTATTGTGCTTGTTTGAAAAAGATTTTTTAACTCTTTGAGAGATTATTTTGCTCGTTGTTTTGGTTACCCAGGTACTTAATGCACCAACATCTTACCTCTGCATGAACTCTAAAACGCCGCAGTAGCCCCATTCCCCTCCGTGCGTTGACAATACAATTTCTATCCTACTATGATGACTCACTTGTCTAGAAGAATGACTAGGGGCGCTGCCTTGATGACAGTGGGAAGTGAAACCCACCTCAAGGGTCAACCGCACTGATTTCTATTACTAAATGCAGAACTGAATGTGAGGGAAGAAGGGCATATGTTGCAGATGGGAGAATCTATTATGACCTATAACAGAAGGGCTGAAAATGAGCACAATCCTCTGCAACTAACTCAGTACATTGGTGTGCAGGGATGCCTAGCTACTAGCTGGATATGACCCAAGTGGGTATGCCCTGGCAGCACTAAAGTGGGAACAAGGTGGCTAGTTGATACTGAAGCAAAAATTTATCCCCAGAAAACCACTTTAAGCTCCGCCTTTAATTAGGTAATACTTTTTTCAGGCCAGAGTACTTACTATTTGAGATAGACATACGAGATAGCCACCACATTTCACCTTCACCATTATGGTTCTCAAATGTCACGAAATTCCAATACCAGTAGAATTGCAAAGAAAAATCGGTGATGGTGCGGTTGAAGGGAAAATCGGTGCCTAGAGCAAACGATTTTTAGGTATTTTTTGCCGTAGACTACTTTGTGATGCCCAACGCAGGAGGTTGATCAACTTATGTTGGAAGAAGAAAAGAGGGGTAGTGTAATATTTCGATAGCCTATTTAGCACCCACTATTGTTTGCGTAAACGCTAAAGGCTCTATTATTGTTAAGCGCCATAGATGTAAGCCATTCTAGCAACTTCTCGTTCCGACTGCACATACAAAATGCATGTTCTATTACGGTATTATTACATATTTAATTTTAGGAAGTAACTCGTGCTCGACTGATTCTCTAAACTATAGTTAAATTAAAAAATTTGCAACAAAACACGGTTATTATTGGTCTTTGTTACTCACAGCTATAAAAACATTAATGCAGACAGACTTTTTCTCGCTGTTGCTATCATTAAATATAGCAGTGTTTTTGGATTTATTTTCCACTTTTCTGCAAGACAAAATGCAACAAAACTGTAAAAGGTTTAAACATTCAGGAGTTCTGATGTTTTTTTGCAAAAGAGCTTTTTAAATATAATGGTGCAATTGCACACTGCGGCATTGGGCTTAAACTGCTATAATATATTAAATCTGCACTTGAAATTTGCTAGCTTTAATGTAAACAGTAGTTGTTCTAGGCATATTTGCAACACTTATTTCTTAACACGGCCTATATTTTGCAATCCTTCGACCTTGAAACTAATTGTTTATGTAATTTGGTCGCGCCGCTAATATAAAAATGGGCGAATTTCAGAACCTTCAGTTTATCAAGCATGGCATCTGCTTGGGCATTTTTAACTGTGCTTGGGGCTGCGCTAATCCACCTTTCGCTTGGATACAACTACACGGTTGGCAACATGAATGCATATCTGATACCGTACATGAATATCACATCTGGTCAAACGGTTTGGATTCATGCAGTAGTTATATCTGGGCAGGCGATTGCAATGCCTTTGGGCGGCTTGCTGACATCAAAAATCGGTTTTCGCATTGTTGTTGCAGTGGGCTGCCTATTGTGCAGGTAAATTGGTAGGACAATCATAAACAATTCTCTTATAAACATCTATTGGAAAAGTGCTTTATTTCTTGTAGTGGTGGTGTTGCATTGTCTTCGTTAACAGTGCAGCATGGTCTTGGTCCCTTTATTTTTACATATGCTGTCATGTTCGGACTTGGAATGGGTCTCCCCTACTCTGTATTATTCACATTGGCTGCAGATGTAAGATAATTTTGTGCGTAAAGAAATTTTACTTTAATTTTTAATGGCTTAGAATAAAGGTTTTAATGTGTTTAGTGGTTTCCTAACCATCGCGCTGTTGTGACTGGCATTATCCTTGGTGGTTTGGGAATGGGTGCACTGCTCTTTACACCAACACAAACAGCATTAATTAACCCATACAATTTGCCAAACTCAGAGTAAGCTGCTATTTTTTCCACGATTCCTTAAAATGCTTTGCAGTTAAGTGCAAAATTTCTGTATTTTGTAGCCCGTCAGTGCTGGCTCGTGTTACTAGATCATTCCTCATTCTTGCCGCTGTCATGTTTGTTCTTCAAATTATTGGATTTTCCCTGTTACGCAAAAGTCCCTCATCTGTAAGTTTTTCGAAATTTTTTGTTCATGAATTCAACCAACCTATTTGCATAGGCTAATGACGATGATGATGTATTTTCGGAATCTGACAATTCGGAAATGTAAGTTCGATTAAATTCGACACATTCTAAAACATTTCGAAAATTACGCGCTTTCATATCAAGAAATTCCTTTTATTTTAGGGAATACCAAGATGCCTCACAAGGGTATTCATGATTTTGTTAGTATAAAACTGTACATGAAAGTCGTTATTTAGCACTTATATTTGGTATCAATTTTATCCATTTGCAAGTACTAACGCAAGAATTTTGAATCTTTTTAGTCTAGATAAGGATGATTCTGAGGTAGCGGTGAAAATTGAGAGCAGGTAGGATCGACTTTTAGATAGGTCAATGACGTTGATGCACAAAATGGTAATATCTAATTTTTTTATATTTGTAGTGACATTCATAATATCTACAACTACACAATCCAAGAGGCCCTCAAATCAATTGATTTTTACACAATTGCAATTATTATTTTCTTGGACACTGTACCCATCACACTGCAGTCATCAGCCTATAAAGTATGAAGCTCTAAATTTACACAAATCCCAAAAATACGCATTTAAACTTAAACTCAATTCTTCTCACAAACATGTGTAACTTATCGTTTGATTTCTTTATAAAGATAAAGTTTTGTAAAACCATGTAGTGCTTTTAATAATAATAATAATGAGTTGAGGTGTTTACAGGTGTTTGGTTCAGAACACGGACTGGAGGACCGTTATCTATCAACCATTGCCACATGTACAGCAATCTTCAACTGCAGTGGTCGTGTTATTTGGGGTCTCATCTGCGACCATGTGTCTTTCAAGGTAGTGAATTTACAAATTCTGGCATTTTTCCTTCGTAGCGACATCAACTAATGATTATGTTTCTTGTGCAATTTTAGATTCCCCTTGGTTGGTTTCTGATGCAATGGGCCATACTTTTTGGGACATTCCCTCTAGTTGCTGAAACAAAGGTTTTCACATACTTATTCCCAGTTTGGGTCTTTCTCCTCTTTTTCTCAATGGCTGGCCACTTTGTCCTTATGCCTGCCGCCTGTTCTCGCATCTTCGGTCCAAAGAACACAGCCACCACCTACGGCCTCCTGTACTTCACAACTGTAAGCTGCTCTGCATTTACGAGGTCACTCATTTTGAAGGAAAGAGTGGGGTTCCAATGGCGCCTCATGTTTTTCCCTTCAGTGTCCCAGTGCTATTATCTTGGCTGCAATCGTGTCCCAATATGATATCAAAAAGAACTTCCCTCTGACCTTCTATTGTTGCTGTGCTCTATGCCTTGTCAGTAAGTGCCGTCATCACCTCATCTACTATAATGGCTATAACCACTAATTTTCACTAAAACTCACCTAATGTGTTTGTTTTATAGGCTTTGCGCTTTCACTTTTCCTGAAGGATAAGTTTGGGAAGTGGCGTGATGTCACGCGTCTCTGCACAAATGCCTGCAATATTTGCCGTTACGAGCCGCCTATGGCGAGGGAAATGGAGGATGACAGCGCTGCCGAGCTCTCAGTTGTTACCAACACCAAAATATATGATAGTTGATCCATTTCCTTCCCGTCCTTTTGAGGACTAGGATGGTCATCATCAATATGCACATAGTTTATTTCGTTGAATAAATGCATGCCTGAACAATTGCCCTTACATTTTATTTGCTGACTTGGAGGTCTCAGAAACCGTAAACACCCCAACATAGAGTCCTGAGCGATGCCAATAAGTATATTACTTTACTTCAGCGGTCTCTGGTCGTTTTTAAGGATTTAGTAAAATTTTATGCTCATATCTAATTAACCTTTGTGCTTTAAACGATGGTCACTAATCATATTGCTTAAAATTCCTACAAAATTTTGTCAAAACTAATTTTGAATTGACAACTTAAACTAAGGCGTCCAAAAAATTCTAGAAGATATATTAAAATAAATAGTTATGTAGTACTCCTCATCTGAACATGAAAATTCGTGCCTCATTAGATGATTTCTTCTAAAGACCTGCTGCCCATTTTTAAATATCCATTGTAGGTGGCGATGCTAATGCCTTTTCCTTATTTATTTGCCCTTTCAGATTCGATGGCTGGATTTTGAGGCGATAATCAAGGAGCGTTCCAGCCTAACGTGTTCGTCTATAATTTAAGGCTTAGTAACAAAGGAATGAAGAGCGCCACTCAAAGCCAAAATACATTTCGATGGTGGATGACGAAGAGGGTTAAGGATCCTTGTAAGTACGATCAGCTTGGAGCTTACGTCATTGCATGCCTGCTAAGGTAATTTTAAGGAGGCATCATGTCTAGAAATCATGCAATTAGCTGCATTTAAGTTGTACATTTCAATGTTTCTAAAGTAGTGAACGATTGGGGCTTCAAAATTGCGAATTTTTTGGTAGAGCAACTTTAGGTTCTAATTTTAATATAAAAGGGGAAATATTGTCTAAAATTTGGGTTGTGCACTATATTCCGGACAGTTGTCCCGAAAATGTCTTGGTGCCTGTTTTTGTTCTTTTCGTGTTATAAATATTTCTTTGAATTGTTTGAACCTTTTGTGTAGATTTATCTGTGGAAACCTTTAGACGGTAACTCATACGGAATCTATCAGTAGTATGTTGCAATTTTGAAGTCAAATCAAATCAAAGTGCTACTTTATGAGCTTGTCTGAGTCTAATATTAAATCTAAAATAACCTTTACATTCTATCCCTAGTTCGGCATTTCAGTGATGTGCATTCAGCTACATTACCTTCAGACAAACATAGTTTTTACTCATCTTAAACGTGACGCCTCATTCTGTTTTACCTTAATTAATGAGATAGAAAGTGACAAGTTAGAACCGTCAACTGAGGTGGACTTACTTGGTATTTATGCAATATCATGCCATCGGCATCAGTGTTTGGCATTCACGTCATGAAGGATTCATGTGTGCTTGGCTTGGATATTTCCATTTTAAATCTCACCTTAAAGTGAGCCAACTTCCAGCTCCCCACCTAGCCGAGAACCACGTCTCCCGCCCTTGTGACCAGTTTTTTTTTTAAGGAAGAGAATCATACGATTGTCTCAGTTGAATGCTTCTATCATACTTCTTTTGATTACAATGAAATCGCAAGGCCTAAATTTGTCATGACAACTACAAGTAGTGACTGTATCCCTTTTCAGGTTTTTCGAACATTATAAGTAGCTGTCAAATAAAAAATATGATCTTTTCATTCTCCACCGTGTTCTAGATTAAAACAGACTCTCTTGGTTAATAATTTGCTTACGTGAGTGAATTTTGCATGCAAGCACAAATCCCAGTAATTTTGCTTCATTTTGGATTTTAAAAATACATGCTAACACAGAATTTTCTACCTTTCTTCCATTTTATTCGATAACTTCTGCACTTTTCATTCTGGCAGATTTGAGACACATAACCTATAACTCTAAATGCCAAAATTTCTACGCAGTTTGCTTGTTGCCTTTCTTTAACTGCTTAAATTTGCACAAAAGGACACTCATAAACCATAATTTTGTTGGTATATATTTCTACATTATTTTAATTAGTTTTCCTTTTTAGCTTCGAATTTAGACCTTTGAATGGAGAGAACTAGTTGAAAAAGGTATCGCCTATTTTGATGGCGCAGAATTCTACAAGTTATGGCAGTTTCATGGGGGGACTCTGTGAAGGCGGCTTCCCCTCCCCTCCTCCCTCGCGGTTTGATGACCACCTCGGTCACGCAACTCGTCCACTCGCCCGGCATGTCACCTGAAGGACTTTTACAAATAAACAACTATCAGCGAAATTGGAACACCTTACACTATTTCTTACTAAGACCAGTATTCCTTTATAGCGTCATTAATGAAAAAACCTTTCCTATTTACTGTCCTTTGTGATTTAGTTTTTTTTAGTTTTTGTGTGTCACTGTTCTTTCTTCAAGGTGGTAAAAGTATCAATGAGTTGTGCCCTATCCCACAACTCCCGAGCACACACAGTAGAGTACTCGTGAATTTCCAAACCTCTTACCACGCAAAGCATTTTATCGCAAAACCTTTTGTAACTTTCCAGGGAACTGCGTTAAGTGGTGCTCAGCTAAAATCCAACCTAAAATCATCCCCAAACTACTGTGGAAAAGTTCTTATGGTTGCTTTTCTTCAGATTTGCGATTTTAGGCTATTTTTCTTCGTATTCAAACAACTGCGACTGTACGTGGAAGGTATCAGTTAAACTGGGGAGCTTCTCCCATACATTAGCGTCTTCATTTTCACAAATTTGACAATAAAGTGGAAGCCCCCTTGGTAATATACATTGGGAATGGGTGGGGACGAAAGTGAGCTTATTACCAAGCACTTGCATTTGCGCAGATATTGTACTCATGCTCATTTATCGAGGCATTGGGTGCTAAAAAAATTAAAGGCTACTTCGCCTTTAAAATTAATGAAATGGATGCTTAGACAACAGCGAAGTAATTCAATGACCCTTAACTGAGTTAACCTTAAGAAGCTGACAGGTGTAAATCGCTAATTGCAACTGGACCGGAGGATCCTGCAACTCTAAATAACTAAATAGCTGAAGGTCATGTGGAAGGCGTGTGGAACGAGGCTGCCCATAGCGTCTGCCACCTCCGAAATCGCGGACCCTCTAGACCTAGTAGGCACTGCTAAAGTAGGGACTGGCAAAGATTGTGCTCCAGTCCGTAACCAAATGTTGTCAGGTCAACAGCCTTAGTCTGCAAACAGCCAGTATGGAGGGCTCCTAAGATTCCGAAAAACTGTGGTGGGTGTCAAGGTTATACTGCCAAACAAGATAGGTTGAGATTTCGCTGGTGATCTATTTGGAATCTACAAGGCTTATCACACGAGGTTGCATGCGTTTGGAGCTAGTTTGACCCTAAAGCGAACCATTGAATGAAAGCTGACTGCACATTGGTACCAGGATGCTCATCTTAGCAAAGCATGCTTATTGAGTATGCTGTTACTCGAAGCGATCATACTGAGAGCATTGGAATATGATAATTTCAACTTGAGGAGGTTTGACAATTTTACATCTAAAGCGATGGTCCACCTCTCACGGAAAGAAAGGGAAATGCGGCAGCTTGATGATCTAGCCGTGGTTCTCTTTGACGTCTTTGCAGAACACATGAAGTGCTATTTCAATGAGTTGGCGTTGGCCACTGCAAGGGCCGTACAATTTCTGTGAAGATACACATGCCCAACTAATATCGTTACTAGGGCAATGAGTTACTAGTGTTACATTTTATTAAAGTCTTATATACAGCACTGTCACAGTAAAAAAATGAAGTGTTAGGTAACTTGGTGCATCTGACTTTTTCCATGTTTGTCTTTCAAGAAGTTGTGCATTTTTATTAGAATATTACCTGCCCTCGTGACATTGTTTTATCCTGTTTTTCTGCCGTCATCTATGTGACAAAGTGTCACAAGCCGGTAAAGTGGGAAAAAAAGTACTGATTAGGGAGTGAAAGGTGTACTGAAAAGCATGGCACCTGAGCTATTACCTCATCACTATGAAGCATCGTAATTGTTTATGCTAACTCAAGTTTTGCACTCATTTGGTTGATATAAGACATGTGGTCATGTCGCAATTTTTAACCAGCCATTATCACTGCTTAGCATATAAAAAGTCCAATGCCTTCTTTTACATTATCTTGGCAGGAAAAATTTATTTGTTCTTGGCTCACCCCTGACGTCATTGAAAACAGTGACACACACATACAAGCACAGCACTTATCTTGAGCATGGTAGCACTTTCAACTTGTCACTACAACTGTCCCCAAACGTGAACGATTATTGAAGCTTATTCAGTGAAACGACTGCTACCATTAATTTGGAGTCATGAAATCTAAACCATTAACTAGATGATGTACGGTTATTTGTCACATGAACAAATGCTTAAGCGGTTATCTGACAACTGGCCAATCAAATTGGGGTTTTTATGCTCCCTTTCTTCTTTCTAAAAAAACCTTGATAAGTCAGCTACAGGCATCTCTTCTTTAATTTTTAGTCTGAGGTACGAGGGGGTAATTTAATTGATGAATTTTCGTGTCAGAATTAGATTGCTCATCATGACCAGGTGCACTTCTAGCATTCAAGAAATTTTTCGCATTCGAGACGCTTTGACACACCCCATAAATGTGGGCATCACACATATTGCAAGTTACAGACGTGACCCAAATCAATGAGACAACAAATTAAGTTATCCTAATCCCTGACTTTGACAAATAACTTTCGGCCCGGATATAATTAACCAAATCTTACAACTTTGGTGGCATTAAAAGCGAATTTTTATCTAAAATATTTTTAGCTTGATTACTAATCTCTACTGCAGACGAAGTTTATTTTGTTATTTGTACCCGCAACATATTTTGCTGCAAGTTGTTTTACTCGGTGCGGAAGCCTTGCACATTTCAACAGCACTGATACCACGTTGAAACCTTCTGGTTACAAATCATTTATAGATAACCCATATTGAGGACAGTAGAAACACTTCTATCGTGATGTTCTAGACAGGAAAAAGGAGTGCTTTATTGTCTTTATCCGATTAGGAATGTCACTTCGTTTTTGGCGGTGATCGCATCATTTTGCCACGGTGTCGCCGGAAAAAAATCAGCTCCCAATATCAGGTCGTAAAATTCCACTGCATAACCAACAATAAAAAAGGTACTTATATCTTCTTCTCATCGAAATACAGGAATATACTCCGTCTACAGCTTCTAAAAGCTGCCTAAAACGAATAATACATTGTCGGTTCCGTCAGTTATTTGGGTTAGAAATGGATTAATATGCTTCTCCTAATTAAAATGACCTGATTTTTTGGGTTTGTCGTTTATTTGTTATTATTTGTTATTGTTGTTTATTTATTGCCTTGAACTGTTCAAAATTTATTTTGGTCGGGCCCTTTTGAAGGAAATCTTGCAAATGGTCAGAGATGAATTTTGATTTTACATTTACTTCTTTCGTTAAAGGATTGTAATATGGAGTGGGATTCTGGATTGGAATTGGGTTTCTTCTGGAATCCAGCTGTGCCTTTGTGGCACAATGTGCGTTGTTCGATAGCACTAAGTTCACCGTAGTTCTAAGTTGGAAATTTTCCACTGTCTAACCTCTCCTCGTGACTGTTACTCTGATCTCAGTGGTATAAGAATCCGTAGTGGTGTGCTCTCTATACAGCCCTGAGGGGGCGCTATCCACGTCTATTCAGGCAGAAAATGATCAACTTATTCTCCATAACAGTTTTTAACATACCATGCTAATTTGAATGTTTGACGTTCTTGATCTTTCTAGTATCACGGTCCCAACAACAGTTATAGCAAAATTGACAAGAGACGCTTGTATAATCCCACACTGAATACGCCAGGGCGGATTACGAGATAGTTGTAAAATCAGACTGATAAATTTCGCACTGACTTAGCACTCTACAAAATATAACAATTTTGTTGACTTCCCTGGGGATTTACTCAAGACTACGGAATTATTTTTGTAAAGCGTAATTTAAAATGCAAAAGACTAAATGGCAAGCCTAGAATATTAAATGCCCTCCATCCCGCTTAAATTCTGGAAGTAAGAAACCTGCTTATAATCCTTACCAGCTATATCACCAATTGTTACTTATTTCAAATCAAAGTAGCGTGAGATGAAACAGGAATGCGGCCTTCTGGAATCAAGCCATAAATTGACATTGTTACTAGATATTATTTGATAGTAATGAAATCACTTCGCAAGGTACTTTTGAAAAAAGGTACTGTGACGACTTAGGACTTGCCTTTCACAACCTAAAGCAATTGCCGTGCCTCCATCGAGTGCTGTTGAGCTACAAAGTCACTGATAAGAGGAGTCACCTTTGCTGTGCCAATACGAATGCATATTTCGATCAATTAAATCATCGTCTCCCCATGACACCCAGCCACCGCCTTGGATTACGAAGCTGACCCCAATGCTATTCACGCGCCTTCAACGACGTACCAGAACCCCAGAGGAATAACACCCCGGCTCACCCTCCTTGAGAATGAATAAGAAAAATGAGCGTGGAGACAGCTTTACTAACGACGCACAGATGCGAGGCTAATAACACGGATAACATGAGCAAAGCTTCGTAGCAGGAATGGAGTATACACAAAACAGAACAATAAAGCAGTTAAGTATCTAATCATAAGACAAACGTGCTTGTCCTTAAGATACTTCCGAGCAGTCAACAGGCATCAAAGGAGGAAAAAAGGCACCTGATGACATCATATACTTCAAGTAAAGCATGAAAAAGGGCAGAATGAACCAAAATCTTTGGAGAGAAGCAAATAAGGAAAATAAATATCGCAGAGATATCAAAAAGGCTGAATGAGCTTGAAGCAAGTGCTAATCCGACTCCTCCTCGCTGCTACTCGTTTCCTCCTCAGAACTACTTTCGGACGTTTCCTTTTTTAACTCTATCTTTTTGGCCTCGATCGTTGGTTTCTTTTCTGACTTTGTGTTTTTCTCATCATCTTCCTCCTCGGACTCGGACTCACTTTCTGTCAAGCTCGATTCCTCCTCTTTCTTCACTACTTTCGACTCAGCGACAGTCTTAGGGATGGGTGCTTCTTCCTCTGCAGTCTCACTTTCCTCCGAGGTCTCTGACGACGACTCTGCAGCTTTCTCGGACTCCTCCTCCTTCTCAGGCGCTTGCTTCATTTCTATTTCTCCTTTGCTTTCCTCTTCTTCTTCTTCTTCAGATGACTCCTCTTCAGACGAAGTCTCTGATGCTAATTCGTTCTTTGACTTCGTAGCTTTTTCCTCGGCCTCCTCCACTGCCTTAGTAGATGTTTCTTTTCCAGATTTCTCTTCCTCGGATTCATCCCCCTCCTCTTCCAAAGATGAGGTAAGCCTCGACTCCGCCTTAGGAGCTGATTCATCTAACTTTTCACTTTTAGCTTCAATAGCATCCTCCTCTATTTCTCTTTTCTTTGATTTACTACCAGAAGCCCCTTCATTATTATTCTCAGATTCCTCTTCCTCGTTCTTTTCATCTCCACTTTCCGATTCTTCAGACAAATCTTCGGACTCTCTTTCATCAGCTTCCTTTCCAGCCCCCTCTTTCTTCTGCTTTTTTTTCTTGACAGCACCACCCTAGATAAATTGATTAGTGTTGCATCAAACAAATTACCACTTTGAGCGCCTGCTCGGTCAACCCTGCCTGAAGATGTGAAACAGATTTGGCAATAATACAAAAATCGAAATGTGCATGCAAAGGAAGCCATGCTACGTGCATTCACAGACATGCAATTGGGTTCCCTGCTACCTCTGTTTGAGAAACGATGTCACCGAACGTTTTCTAAACAATTAAATGAACAAAAGGTTCACCTTACCGATTTCGCCCCTGGGAGGCGAAGAAAGGAATCAACGCGTTCCATCTCCAGAGACTCAAAAAAATCATCGTAATTCTAACAATACAAAGCAATTCCCCAAAGTACCCCAAGATACTCATCTTCATAGTAAATTACTGGTGGAACGAATGAGAGCGATTTCCCTTTAAGTTCATCAATTAAGGCTTGCTTTTTCTCCACATTCTTCGGGTCGGTAAGATCAATTTGCTCGAAGTCTATCCTTCTCGCCGTCAGAATACTTGACAGCATCGACTGGTTTTTCTTAACCTAACTGATAGTAAAAACTGGAAGAGTCATACCAGAAGGCTGCCAGGAGCAGAAGAAACAAAAACCTTTATAGACATCACAGGCTACCACACAAGGACACACAATCTACCTTGATGGCCAATAACGCCCCTAGGAAGTTTAAACAAAGGCCCACGGAAAATGAGGCAAAATTTTCTAAGCACACTTAAAAACATATTTAAAACCTAAGCATACCTAGCTTCAGGGGGCTCTTTTTTTTCAACGAATTTGTAACAGCATCAATGTATAGTAGGATTGCGCAAATTGGAAATAGGTGTAATGGAAGTGCTCATAAAATATTTCGAAAATAAAAATCTAAATCTAGCATTAGCAGACATTTTGTAAGTTTGCTATTTTCATGGTGTGACGCAATATTATGCTCGTTAAGAAAATCCAACGATATGGTTTGAGCCATCAGAATCAAATAGCGATGGTTACAAGCGGTGTCCTTTTTACACCGCGTGGTAAAATTCGAACAGTGTTTAAATATTATGGGTGATTTGTACTGCTCCATGCATTTTCTAAGTTGGGATTTAGAAAAAAGTATGGGTTAAAATTTACTGCAAAAATAGGAGGTCGGTAAAAGCTCTTGGGGCCAAAGCAGAAATAAAATATATGAGAACTAGTAGACTGGTATATACAAATATGAAGTTGGTCTAGATATGAAATCATCACATTGCCTTATTCCTTCCAGTGTGCATCTCGGTAAAATCCGCGGTCACTAGGTTGCGATGACCATCAAAAATGATTATTTCTTTAAAATCACCCATTTACAGGATAGAAATTCGGCATATTTTTACGCAAATAAGTGAGGACTCAACCTCAACATCGATCATGCCTCAGAAAATCTCGACGGTGCCACTGTACCTAAAGCCTCTTCCAAGTTGGTGAGTCGAGTTGTTTTAAGGTTACTCACTGGATTAGTACTTCGTAGGACTGCAAGATGTCTTACAACGGGTGCACGCATTACGCGATTGACGTTAGTGGAAAATTGTTGCTTAGACTCTGGGCTATGAAACCGAAGATAAAACTAGAGCAGCTTGAAGAGCTAACAAACCGCATTATGTGGCGGAAAATTCGCATCTCCAAAAAAAACTTTCCGTTTAAAGTTTTCTGAAATTTGTGCTCAAAACTGGAATCTCCAGGCACTCTAAATTATTCTTTGATCTGCACTTTTGCAGGTTTTGCAACATTGACCAATCTGTACTAATGGTCAGGGTAAGGTCAAATCCACGCATGTTGATATGGGCAGATAAGAGTGGTAACTACGCTGAAATCCCACCAATTTCAACATCATATACGTACTCTAATCGCACTCCTGGTGTATAATCGCGGCTGAGAACCTAGTAATGTCTGTGCTCACACGCGAATAGCGATTTGCAACATTTAGTGACGCAAATGAATTTTAAGAAACAGCGAATTGCAGACTTTGCTGTCCAATCCGCGCCACAACAACCAGAAGCCAACAAAGCCCTCTGACGAGGACCACATGAATTGCACAAGGCGATCCAACTGGCAGTACGATACCCAAGACACGAAGACACTTGACTGGCGGCCCGTCTGGATGGCCCGTCTTCGTCTACACTTCAAAGTTGCCAACCGACGCACACGTCTCCACTCATCTACTCATCCTGATGAAGGATCTCCTTGA